AGAGTGATTTTACCTGTCATTTGTCATTCCCGATCTGATAGAACTCGATATTTCTTTATGATTATTGAAGAATTCGGTAATGATTAATATAACTTTATAAATACGAAAAAATATTAAAACTTAGTAATATTAGTGTTTAGGTCGTTTAAAAGGGAAAATTGAAGTGTTAGTCATGGAGCGGACTTTCCCGTAAGTCTTTCACTTCAATCAGGTGAGTGCATAGTTATTTTTATGAACATGATTTTAATACAAGTATTTATTAAAAGTATTAAATATCAGTTGGAAGTTTATATGAGAATTAAATGCCTATGATCTGGAATATATGTTAAATATATATTTGATAACATACACTGTGTGAACCAGATATGGTTATATATGTATTAAGTGTATATATGGTATTATTACATGAAAATCTTAATGGAAGTATTATTACTTAAAAAGATTAATGTATATTAAATATCTGATAGTCTGTATTAAAGATATATATTAAATTATGATTGTATTATCTAAACAGGGTTGTGACAATTGCAAAAACCGCCATCAATCATCAACCGCAAACATGATGAACATCAAATATAATAGACTAAATATGTAATATTTGTCAATCTATGATAAAAATACAAGATAACGTATTCCAATATATAAGAGAAAAAAATCAGTTAAATTTCCCAAAAAACTAAAAATTTAGGTGTATATATAGTTGTTTATTTTTATATAAATAATAGCATATCCTGAAAGCACACATCGTCACGATCCCGAATATATAAAGAACGCAAAAATCTGACTTCGTATGAAGAAATTATGATTTTTCTAAGTTTTAAAATCAACCGCGCACGAAAATGTGTTTCGTAAAAAGTTATAGAAAGATTGGTTGAGTTTTAACCAAAATAACATAAAGGAGATTCGTAGTACTCCTCGATACAAAACCAACAAGACGAAGAACACCAAAAACAGAGTTCGTATGAGAGAGTTACAATTTTATTCGTTTCATTTCAGTGCACCCCTTACAAAAATATGAATTAAAAATAGGAGCCAAACTAGCTAATGGAATCTAAGGGAAAGTTGTAGTACTCGTCGATAGCTACGTGTGGATATAAAGAGCGTCAAAAACGAAGCTCGTATGCAAAAGATATGACTTTCCAAAAATCATCAACTTTACCCGGTAAGGGTGATGTGGCACGCCCGGAACGTGCCATGTGGCACCCGAAAAATGAGATTCACGGAGATTTCTCCTGCATGGACCAACAAAAAGTTGACCGAGTCGACACCCGAGTGGAGCCAACACGCTTAAGCGTGGCGCCCCCCTGCCTAAAGCGTGACGCGCTCCCCAAATCTCTTACTATAAATAGAAGGTTCGACCCCTTCCATTTTCACACCTCTAGAGCTTCTGCTCGCTCCCTCAATCTTCTACCAGAAGCCTTACCTTTCTTTGATTAGTCCCGAGCCCCGACGCCTACAGCCGCGCACCTGGAGTCAGTAAAACACGCTTCAAGGGTGAGTTCACGGTCCCTTTTTTCAAACTCTTTCTCAAATTTGGGGGGGGGGGGATACATGCTTAATTAATTAGTTTTTATATAATAATAAAATCGTCGTTATAAGATTTTTCTTTATAAAAACTTAGGTATATCATATCACTATCCTACTAGTTTAAAAATGGATAATAGATAAATATTAAATCGTTACTCTGCTCGTTTTCAAATGGATAAAAACTAATATTATACTGTTACTCTACTCGTTTAAAATTGATAAAAGATATATATAATGCCATTAATCTGCTCTTTTTACACAAATAATAAATATATATTATGTCGTTACTCTGCCCAAATAATAAACAATCGTACAAAGACATAACCCTCACTACCACTACTGTCTAGGAGGCACCCACTACTATTACCGTCTGGGAGGCACCCTCAGTTCACATACTTGGTAATATAACAAGTATCTAATAACATAAATCTAATCAACACCTATATACCCGTTACCCATACTTGGAATTCTTATAAGTATCTCCTAATATAAGACTGATAAAAACTTATACACTCATTACCCATACTAGGAGTTTTTACAGGTATCCCAAATTATAAGTCAAATAAATACTTATATAATAATCGTACACTTTTTAGTGATAAAAAGTACACTAAATTTATATATAAGTCAGAAAATTATTATATACGATAAAACATATACTTTTAGTATAAAAAGTAATTTCTGTTGGGAAAATTAGGGTTTGTGGTGGAGATCTGGATACCAACTTTGATCGTGATATCACTTTCCGAACTGATATTTCTACCCTATGTCTGGGTTACAAGAAATTCAGCCTAGGATAATCCAAGTGGACACTTACGATTCTAGGCACAGAAATCGTAAGCCAAAATGCTAGAGGATTCTGTGAAAGTATAATGAAAAACGAGAGCTTAAGATCGTAACCCTCTTCTAAAAAGAAGAGTCGTTTATATAATAAACGATATTAGGGGCTCTGCCCCAAACCCCGCGGGGGCGCTGCCCGGGGATCTGCCCCTTGGACCCCGCTAGGGGCGCTGCCCCCGGACCCCCGATTAGTCGTCGAAGCGGCTTCTAATTCGATCTTATACATGCGTGCACTCCGCACAACCCCGTACTTATAATAGAGTACAAATTATGAAGCCCCTTAACTCACATGTTAGTTTCAGTGACTAAAAATGACATGGTGACACTAAAATCACCAACACTTTCGATACAACACTACAAACCTGTTAACTCTCCAACATCATGTTGATGTTTTCAAAACCGTATGTATTCCAAGAAAACCAAGAAATGGAAGCTCGCACTCCTTGAAGTCAAGTCGTGAAGTTGCAAGCATCTACAGATCAGTGTGATGTTGCATTAGTTAGTAGTATATTGTTTGAAATACTAGATTATTGTAACTCTATATATTATTGTAATATCTTTTTCAGTAATAATATAGTACTTTTATGTTATATTTTTTGTATTGTTCAATGTATGTTCAATAACTGTGATCCACGACAAAGACGTCGCATAGTCCGGTGTTTCCACCTATGGTTGGGGGTGTGACAAGGGTTGGTATTGAAAGTTGATTATAGGGATTGTAGTCTTGTTTAAGTTTTAAACTAAAACGTATAAAGGATGTCTAGTTCCAAATAAGGTGAAAAAGGGTATAGTCATACCCCGTAGTATTGTATGACCAGGAAAACTGTACTAAAATGGAATTATATGTATTGTGATTTGGTCTAGTTACAAACTAAGGTTTGTCAATATTTAGTTCAAAAGTAAGTTGAACGAGTGTTTAGTTATACAATGTATTTTAATGATATTGCATAAGCAAGAAAATAGTGTTGGAGATCAATTATGGGTTTTTTGTAGTCTTTGTGACTATACCCGTGGGTCGAATGCACCAATACCGGCCCACTAGAATCTATTATATGCTAGCTGTGTTTGTGACTCTCGCATGGTATGTTGGGCTAGGCACATTATATGACGGGCTAGGCCCATTTTATGTTTGGTTGGGCCCATGGATCAGGAAGGGCTAGACCCAATGTATGTTATATGCTAGCTGTTTCTGTGACTCTTGCATTGTATGTTGGGCTAGGTCCATTATTATGGGTTGGGCCCAATGTGAGGGTTAGGCCCAAGGATATGTATGATATGTGGTATTTTGGGGAATTCACTAAGCTTTGTGCTTACAGTTTATGTTTATGGTTTCAGCTACTTCCGTTTCAAAAGGGAAAAGTCCGACGTGACTGCACAACATCCCCCAAAGTTTAATTCCGCATTGATTAGTTTACTCTGATGTTTAAATGATATTTTTACCTTAAATGGTTTCAGAACAATTTGTTTTATAAATTATTATTTTAAAAATGAAAATTTTACCTTGGATTTTCAAGACGTTACAACAACACTAACGATGAGATATTTATGCAAAATAGATGCATGAAATGCACCTAAGAGGGGTCCATCTTATTTTCTTACTTTTTAAAATTAAAATTTGGTTAAAGAAAATCTAAAATAAATTTAAAATTGTATAAATGTCTTTTTATATACATGAAGGACCATCTCTTAAAAAAAATTTAAACCAAGGGACCATTCTTGATAACCTAAAAATTTAAGAATTTTTTTTTTTGAAAACCACCTAAACCCATTTATGAGAGATTTTCCTTTTATTAATAAATATTCTCTCTCGCTATATATATATATATATATATATATATATATATATATATATATATATATATATATATATTACATTTATGAATATAGGTGGGTATTTGATTTGACATGCATTTGTGAAACTTTGTTAGTAATACATGTACAAAATAAATAAATAAATAAATAACTATTAAGAAATCGTATACACCAAAAAAGATATTGGTATTATTTTATATAAAATCCAAATTTTATTACCTCCTAAGATCATATCAACCTTTTCTTTTTTGCTTTCTAAAAAGTTGAATTTCTATCCATTATTACTTTTAAATTTGATGATAAAAAAACATAAACAACTTGAGTAAAAATGATGTCTACCACCACACACACCAAAACACACTCAAAACGCACACAGTATTGCATCATTGAATACCATAATAGCTTTTTCTGATACGTTCACCAACCCTTGGCACATTTATGAACTCCCTCCGGTCTCCACAATCTCTCCACTCACTCTTTTCACTAAAAAAACTGCCAAATTCTCCATTCCCAACATCTCTCCCTCCTTTTTCTTCTTTTTCATCCAAAGTTTGAACCCTTTTCGTATGCCCTTTTAGCACAAAGACAAAAAGTTTTTAAATTTCCCTGTTTTCTCTTTTGGCTTCTTCGATCAGATGAGTATTTTCTTTGAAACACCCGAATCTTCAGGTTAGCAGATTGCGGTGGTGGTGGTGGTGGTGGCAGGTGGCAGGTGGGTTGGTTTTGCAGTTAATGTGATAAACATTAATGAGGTGAAAAGGTGCTTGGAAGGGTGATAAAAAGAATTGACTGTTCCTCTCTTTGTTTAGCTGATTTCAGAAATGGGGTTTGCTTTGCTGGGTTCCATTTTGATTCTAACACTTTTCTTGAAGTCAAACCTTGGTCAACAACAAGAACAGTTAATACCCAATACAGATGAGTTCTTCATCTCTAGTTTCTTTGAAAAAATGGGTAGAAATTCTTCATCTCCTCATGTTTTCAATCCATCTTCATCTGTTTGTTCATGGCAGTTTGTATTTTGTGATGCTAAACAACAAAATGTCATTGGTCTTGTTGCTCCTAATTTGGGACTCACTGGTCCAATTCCCGATAACACCGTTGGCAAACTCAAAAAGCTTCAAATTCTCGATTTAAACAGTAATCAAATCACTGATTTCTCATCCGATTTTTGGAGTCTGATTTCACTCAAAACGCTCAATCTTTCAAACAACAAATTCTCCGTTAATCTCCCATCTAACATTGACAACTTTGAATCGCTCGAAAAACTTGACCTTTCTTTCAACAATTTCTCCGGGAGTCTCCCTGATTCTTTCGATTCTCTTCCCAGTTTACAAGTTCTTAATCTCAATCGAAATCAGTTCGAATCCATCGTTCCATTAGGGATCATACGTTGCCACTCGTTGATATCCATCGACTTTTCTATGAACAGTTTCCATGGGAGTCTTCCTGATGGTTTTGACACTGCATTTCCGAAGCTCAAAAGCTTAAATCTTGCTGGAAATGGAATCAGAGGAAGGGGTTCGGATTTTTCAAAGATGGTTTCTTTAACTTATTTGAATATTTCCAAGAATCTTTTCACGGGTGCTGTTGTTGAAATCTTTAAAGGGCCATTAGAGGTGGTTGATTTAAGTAGTAATCATTTCGAAGGTCATATTTCTCAGGTAAATTTCAGTTCTTCCTTCGATTGGTCTCGTTTAGTTCATCTTGATTTGTCCGATAACCAGATTAGCGGAATGTTTTTCAGTAATTTAAGTCAAGCTCATAATCTCAAACACCTTAATCTCGCGAAGAACAGATTTTCGAAACAAAGTTTCATCCACATCGATGAACTCCATAGTTTAGAGTACCTTAACTTGTCAAAAACCAATTTAGCCAATCGAATTGGTGATGGGATTTCGAAGTTAAATCATTTAAAAACACTCGATCTTTCAAGTAATCATCTTTCTGGTAAACTCCCACTTCTAAGCTTCAAAACCCTCCAAAATCTCGATCTTTCAAACAATAACTTAACGGGAGACATACCGTTATCTCTCTTGCAAAAACTTCCATGGATGGAAAGATTCAACTTCTCTTACAACAACTTAACCCTTTGTGATTCAGAGTTTTCACTCGAAACCCTTCAAACAGCGTTCATCGGGTCATCAAATGGTTGCCCAATCGCTGCAAATCCGACCCTTTTCAGAAGAAAAATCCATAGACATAGAGGACTCAAGCTCGCCTTGGGTTTAGCCATCACTTTAATCTGCTTGCTCGTCGGTTTGCTACTCTGTGCTTTCGGTTGTCGGAAAAAAACGCGAATGTGGGATGTTAAACAAGAATCTTACACTGAAAAATGTGCAATTTCTGGGCCATTTTCATTCAGAACGGATTCAACCACTTGGGTAGCAGATGTAAAGATTGCATCTTTAGTCCCTGTTGTGATCTTCGAGAAGCCATTGTTGAATTTTACATTCTCGGATCTTTTATCAGCTACTTCAAATTTCGACAGGGATACCCTTTTGGCCGAAGGGCAATTCGGACCGGTTTATAGAGGGGTTTTGGGAGGTGGGGTTCATGTCGCGATTAAGGTTTTAGTCCATGGTTCCACCATGACTGACCAAGAAGCTGCAACAGAGCTCGAGTATCTCGGACGAATCAAACACCCGAATCTTGTTCCTTTGATGGGATACTGTTTGGCCGGAGAACAACGAATCGCGATTTATGATTACATGGAGAACGGAAACTTGCATAATTTGCTTTACGATCTTCCTCTTGGAGTTCAAGTGACTGAAGATTGGAGTACAGATACATGGGAAGAAACAGAAACCGATGAAAACGGGATCCAAAACGTGGGTTCGGAAGCGCTGTTGATCACATGGCGGTTCCGGCACAAGATCGCCCTAGGCACCGCCCGTGCCTTGGCGTTCCTCCACCACGGATGCTCACCGCCGATTATTCATCGAGACGTTAAAGCGAGTAGTGTTTATCTCGATTATAATCTTGAACCCAGATTATCGGACTTTGGGCTCGCTAAAATCTTCGGCAACGGTGTTTCTGATGAGACCGGTCGTGGGTCTACCGGATACTCGCCGCCGGAGGCCACCGTCAGTCCAAAATCCGATGTGTATGGATTTGGGGTGATTCTTCTTGAGTTAATCACGGGGAAGAAGCCTGTGGGGGATGAATATCCAGATGAAGATAACTTGAAAGCACCAGGGTTAGTTGATTGGGTTAGAGGACTTGTGAGGATGAACCATGGTTCGATAGCCATAGATCCCAAGATGCGAGGCGTCGGTGATGAGGGTCAGATGGTGGAGGGGTTAAAGATTGGGTATCTGTGCACGGCGGATGTTCCGGCGAAGCGGCCAAGCATGCAACAAGTTGTTGGACTTCTTAAGGATATTGAACCGAAGTGAAGAAACTTGAAGTTGGTTTTTTGCATGTGGGTTTCATGTTACTCGTTTTGTCGTTAGAGGACGAGTTTTAGGCGCCGAAATATGTATTCATGGTTTTTATGAAAGAAATCAACAATAGCCTAAAGAGAAAATATGGTGTTAACTCGTGGCTGTAAAAGTTGTATATCGTAATGAAATGAATGTTTCGTGTTTTTTTTTTTTTTTTTTTTACTTTTCGTTTAAACAAATGATCGTTTTTTGTGAAAATGTCAAAAAACTTTTACCGGCGAGGATAAACAAGTTTATATTTATATTAAAAGAAATTAATATAAAATTTTATAGAGAGATTAAAAAAACCGACCACTTTTCACTTTTTTTAGCACATAAGAAAATAACCTAGTTATTTGCATTTTCACATGTGAAAAAACTCAGATCATACCCTTTATGTGGTCTGATATATGGTACCCACCACACTATGATACGGCGTTTCATATTCTCTGGAAATTTTCGACAAGATGAAGCATTCATTTGCACTCGGCTGAGCATCATATGGTGAACTAGGTTAGTTCTTAGTTTTACGGTTTTATTTCCAAGATTTGTAGTTATATAGTAAAAGTAATCTCTCTATTGTGAAGAAAAATTCTGGAATCCAAAGAACAAATTAATCCATATTAATGGATTTAATTTGTGCGGATTAAATAGGTCAGTCTTTAGTTTGGTTGTTGTCTTTTGGGTATTATCTTGTTTAGCAGTGTCTACGACAATTTATAATTAACTTAAAGAACCTAGAAATGCAAATTACATTGTCAAAACATAAACCATAATTCGAAATCCAAAGAACATCCAAAATTGGTTTTTTTATTACGGTTGGTTTTGTAGTTAAATGTTGTTTTTATATAGGTATTAGTGATTTTGATACAATCAAATATGTGGATTAGTCCCATACTGGAATCGATAATCAAAACAGGAATTTGTGGCATTACATAATGAAGTCTTTTCTGATCATTTTGCATGAATGTTTCTTGGAAAAGTAGGTTACATTCACGAGGGATAATAGCTCACCTCCTAAAACTTTCATAATTAATACAACTCATTTTTTGCGCTCCTAAAACTTTCATAATTAATACAACTCATTTTTTGCGATTTATCGGTTATATCCATCTGTTATAACCATACTTTATTATATTATATTAAATAAATTTTTATTTACAGAGAGAATCAGCAGTTGTGGAAACAAAAAGAAATCCACTTCCACCAAATCCTAAGTCGAGCGTAAAGAGGCTAGAGAAGATATTAAAACTTAAATTGATATCAAATAGAACTCTTGAAGTTGAGATTGGGCCAAACCTTGATAAAGTTATTTTAGATTAGTCTATTATCTTATTCAATGTCTATAATTCTACGAACTAATAAACTTTTTATGCAATAATTTTTTCAACCATATAGTTATTTAAATTGGATTTGTTATTTTTTTTTGGGAAATTTTTAGAAAAGTCCCAATATTTTCAGGAAAGTTACACTTTAGTCCCAAGATTTTTTTTTTGAACATAAAAGTCCCGATTATTTCATTTTGGCTCAAGTTTACAAAAAAATCTTTTTTTTCTTTTAACATGAAATGACATATTATCGTGTTTTTACAAATAATCGGGACTTTTATGTTCAAAAAAAAATCTTGGGACTAAAGTGTAACTTTCCTGAAAATATTAGGACTTTTTTGACAATTTCCCTTTTTTTTACAGTTAGAAACATTCGTTATTGTGTCACCTCCATCATTAGAATATGAAGCGGTACAAATGGAGGTTAGACAATGGACTTTTGTTGACAACATTTCATTGGACTTCATTAGTTATTTTTAAGGTATACGAGAGAAATTGGAAGAAATAGAGATTACATGCATTACTGGCCTAAGAAGTCATGGAGCATAGAAATTAGAAAGTTAGCGCTTTATCACATGACATTCCTCTTGATTACAATTGTCTAAAGACAAACGTAAGTTATTCAAGTCAATGGAAAGAATCGAAAAAGCATGTTGAGTCCACCATTTTGGATCAAATTTTTTTAACTAATATCACCATGAAGTATTGAAGTTGCCAAAAGTGCATATTTCACCAAACCAGATTGACAACATCTGTATTTTACACTAATATTTATGATCACGTATTCATACATTTATATCATTCGTATTTGTCTAAATGGTAGTAGATGATCTATTGTAAAGATGACAAGTTTTTCTTTCTTAAACCAGGTTGATCAAATTGGACCTCTGGATGTATACAAGGTTTGATTTTTATGTACACATAAGTCGTATTTCTTCCTAAAAAATTGTATGCTCAAATTTTATTAGAGTTTAGACGAATACGAATAATAAAACCTTTGAGAAGCAACAATGCAAAATGCAACACAGAATCCCAAAAGAAAATCAGTAAAAACCATAACCAAATTGCATATGCATAAACTGGGAGGCCCAAACACAGAGATACAATTTTTTCCTTAAATGGACATCCTTTTATTCATTAAGATTCAGCAACACTCACTCACATTTGAACCTCCCTCCACTCCACTAGTCACTAGAGAATTTAAGACCCACGGGTCAACCCGCCCAACTGATTAAAGCCTTTAAGATGAAGAGTTGGACACGACCCATTCCACCAAAGTTGGGATTGCAAATCCTGTTGCTGCTTTCTTCTTGTCACTCCAAACGGGTCCCGCCATGTCAATATGCAACCATTCTACTTTCTCATCCACAAACTGCAATAATTCACCACAACCTTCATCAATATGTTTCTTTATATACCCCCCCACTAATTGTTCTTATATGATGATAATGAGGAGGGCATTTATGTCTTTTGCACAGACGACCCCTGTCCCATCTTTTTGGGTGGGGACAAAAGGTTTCACAATCCAATGCATACCAAACACAGTACATGGTCGTCTTGAAGTAAAATAGATGAAAATTGTTTGACCAATAATCAAACATCTAAAATGAAATTACTTGTTCTTTGTGATGAGCAGAAAGGGTAAAAATGTAATTTTGCAATTAACCTTAAATTCTTTGGAGAAAGAACGATACCTGTTTCAAGAAAAGAGCTGCAGTAATAGAACCACCCTGACGACCACCAGTGTTGACCATATCAGCCACCCCAGATTTCATGGATTCCCAATAACTTTCCTCCATTGGCAACCTCCAAAGCTTTTCTCCGGCGACTTCAGAGGCAGCAACCACCTCCTTTGACAACTCATCACTCGGTGTGAAAATGCCTGTTTTGTTTTATCATTTAAGGAAAATGTCAATAATGAGTATTTTTATATATCCTTTTTTTTATCCCAAATTATCTTATCAATGTATTTGTGTATACCTGCAATTGAGGGCCCAAGAGCAACCACACAAGCTCCAGTCAAAGTTGCCAAATCAACTATCTGAAGAAATTATGGAACATGCCATTGCCATGTCAGCAATTCTTTAACAAGGAGCCACAAACTAAAAAGAGCTAAATGCAAGAAATAACAATGTACTTTTCATTGATTTGTGTAATTTAGCACTCTACTTTCGTTTCTTACTACTACAACATTATACTTTCCATATTTTTTTTTTCTTATTAAAAGATCAAAAATCTACCAAATTATAGCATTGTACTTTCAATTTCTTTTTTGAAACTTGAAAAATCTACCCAATGATGTGATAAGAAAAAATAATAAACAAACAAATGAAAGTATGCTGCTATTTTTGCATTTAACTCAAATGAAAGATGCAACTGAATAGCAAAAGTCACCTTGTCTACTCCTTGATTACAAGCATACACCAAAGCATCAGCAAGTGTAAGTCTGCCTTCAGCATCAGTGTTGTTGACCTACATTAACATGAAAGATTCCTTCAATTATATATACAAGATGGGAATTCAAACTTCATAATTGTATTTACAGAAAATGCCTTCTGAATACACTTCTAATTTGTTATCATTTATCAAATTTTAATGATTTTTTGTAAATCTGTACCTCAATTGTCTTTCCATTTGAAGCTGTTAATATATCTCCAGGCCTCATACCAGTTCCACTTATCATGTTCTCACAAGCTGCTACTATAAAATGAACCTGTGATAGCATAATTTATAAGCCAAAGTCATATATCAAAAGTATAAAAAGGTGTTATTACTTTTTTACTTAATGGATTCACATTCAGACACTTCATTCAATCCAAAAAAGAAAAGACTTTCTGTATAAAAAGGAAGAAACTTTGCCCTTATCAGGTAACTTTTTTATAAATTTTCATTAGAACATATCATTTCACCTCTACACCAAGCGGTTTAATTTGACCAAGGGCTTTTGCAGCACCTAAAACCGCTGCTGAGCCGCCCATATCAAACTTCATCAGCTCAATTGAACAACCAGGTCCTGTCTTGATGTTGTAGCCACCACTGCAAACAGAAAAAACAACAAAAAATGTCACATTTGAAAGAAAACATTAAATATACATTCTCTAACTAATAACAAATTTGAAAACAAAATAAGAGAATATCATTATCACCTGTCAAAAGTCAACCCCTTTCCTACTAAAGCAAGCTTGGTTTTAATGGAACCACTTGGAGGTTTATAGCATAAATGGATAAACTTTGGAGGATTTGTAGAAGCAGCAGCCACACCAAGATATGAACCCATTTTCAATTCTTTGCATTGTTCTGTATCCAATATCTTTGCTGTAATTACATCACTGTATGTTGCAGCAATCTTTTCAGCTTCTTCCGCTAATACCCCTGAAGCATAAACATAAACATGTAACAAATGGGCCCAAGAAGGGTAAAAAGTTGGTCAAAAAAAAGGACGACTAACCAGGAGTGAGGACATTAGCAGGGGCATTTACAAGCTCTTTTCCCAAAATTACCCCTGAGCAAATTTCTTGTGTGTACTTAAGTTTCTTTTCTAGCTCAGGTCCAGATCCAAGGCCAAAAAGGTCAACAGAGTTAAGAGTGGATTTCTTTGACTCGGATTTGAATCTGTTATCTTCATAAGTACCCAACAATGTACCT